TCTCTCTCTCTCTCTCTCTCTCTCTCTCTCTCTCTCTCTCTCACACACACACACACACACACACACACACACACACACACACACACACACATTGGTCCCTACCCGCTAGCATTTTACCCTTTCATCCTTCTCCATTGCCTCCCTTCCGCCCTGTACGATTCCATCCTTCAACTTGCGCCCTCCGATTTCCCTCCCGATCTTCCCATCACCAATCCACTTTTGCCCATCCTCTTCTCTCCTTGTCCTGTGTCTGTCGCCTCTCCTTTCTCCTCTTTCTCCACGCCTTTCTCTCCGCCGTTGGGATCCCCGTCGAGCTCCTCTCTCCAATACTCGACGTGGCCCCTGTGGATCTGGTATGTCCTTCCCTCTCTTCCTCTGTCTGTCGCTCTTTCTCTTTTTTGCTCTTTCTTCATCACCTGGATATCCACATTTACCCTATCCCTCCCCTAATTGAGGCCCTTCGTCATTATCCCGCTCTCTCCTTTCCTAACCTCTTCCCCCCCCTCCGCTCTTAAACCCTCTTCCTGCCTTGCAATCGCTTCTTCCTCCGCTTGTTCGGATCCCCCTACACGACCTGCATTACTTACCCTGTTGCCTTGGCCTTCTTTCCCCTGCACTTCATCGCTTTCCCATATCCTCACCCCCTCATTGGCTAGTATTCCAACCTCCTCCTCCTCTCGATCGCACAGCCTGATATGCCGCCCCACCAATCCGCGCTGCCGATCCCCTTCCTTCACAAATTGGGTCCCCAACCTACATCCTCCTCCCATTTACTTTAGGACCCTCCTCTCCTCGACGTCTTTCTCCTCCACAACCACCTTAACGCCCACAAACTTACCCTGCATGCTTCACCCTATGGCTATGACTCTCCTTCCTCTTCCTCTGTTGCCGCATCCCGTCCTGACCCACCAAATCCCCACTCTCTCATCCTCTGATCCCGCCGCATCCTCACCCTCCCCCTTCGTCCTTCTCCTGCTACTCCGGCTTCTCAAGATCTCGATGGCGACCTTGTCCTACCTGCCTGACCAGGCACTTGACCTACCCCTACCGTCTTCCCCCGAACACAACGCACCCTCATTTTGGCTGTATCTGGCCGGAAATATAAGTCGTATACATTCATTTTTAGGGTGCGTTGTGTTCGGGGGAAGACGGTAGTGTTCCTTCACCCCCTGCCTCTTCGCATTCACTAGATGATCCCCGGCTACTCCTTCCGATAGCGGGCGTGCAAAACTCCAGTCCCACCTACAACAGGGCACCCCCACAGAAAATGGAGTTGCACCCCTAAACGTGGATGGAGGGAGGAGAGAAGGGGTGTAGTGAGGGAGAGAGTGCGGGTGCAAATCGCATACGCCGGGGGAACCCGCATATCCGGTCTTTGAAGCCGAGTGTGGAAGCAACCCTCCACCTCTTCGCGCACAGCACCGCTAAGAGAGAGAGGGAAGGTGGGCGGGAGGGAGGGAGAGAGGGAGAGGGAGGCAAGGAGGGACGAAGAGAGGGTGCACTTTGCTACGCCGCGGGGACTCACCTATTTCCTTTTTGAGCCGAGTGAGAATTGAACGCTCCACATCTTCGCGCCAACACTGCAGGCACACAGAGAGAGAGAGAG